GCTGTGGCCGGGAGGCAGTTTGTTTGACGCAGGTGGAGGCTCAGTGCCCCTTTGTTACTCCGCCACACCGCGCCCCCACAGTGGTGACCCTGATCATGGACCATGCTGCCGAATCCAGTTCCCGGAGTTCTGCTGTGGCCGGGAGGCAGTTTGTTTGACGCAGGTGGAGGCTCAGTGCCCCTTTGTTACTCCGCCACACCGCACCTCCACACTATACTAGCTGCCAGCTTTCTGATCGGCTTCTCCGCTGCTCGCTTCCAGCTCCAGCTCAAACTACCTGCTCCTGTAGTCTGTTCCAAGAAGCACAATCCAACACAGGGCAGACACACACACAGAAACTCACAAACATCATGGGCAATTTAGAGATGTCACGGCACTGAATCATGTTTTGGGCTGTATAAGGAAATGGGAACAGCTGGAGGAACCCTGACCTACGGGGGGGCAAACAACCTCCACACAGAACCAGCAGCAGGACTCAGGGCTTCCTGCTGGCTCTCAATGTTATGTACGGGGTTTTAGTTTGAAAGAATCAGCTGTGCCAGAGAACCATATCAACTCTTCTTCTACCTCATGGTATCCCGTAATTTCTATTATTAAAAAAAAATAAAAATATTCATTTTTAAATGAACTTTTCTGTACAGCATTTGTGTTCACAAAGTTTATTGTTAAGATATAAATAATAAGTTTGTTATGTCCTCTGTAAATGCAAATATTCCATTTTCAAGTCATTTACACTTGAAAAGAATTCTAAAATTTGAAAGTTAGGTTTGGGGACCAAGAACATTTTCATGAGAACACATACAAAAGCAGTAGAAAAATATTCAAAACAAAAAAAAAATAAATACAAACAACATGTCTTTAAGTGGAATGTTACATTGAAACATTTAAGCATAAATCTATGCACATAGATAGATACCTACTGACAGATACAAACACACAATCAGGCGCACATCTACATGAACACAGACAAATACATGAACATACAAAATACACACATTCTAATAGCATCAACATCTCTGCATCTGTCTCTTTCAGAGTGGAGCATTTTCACACAAGCACATATACACATAAAAATAATAATAAAAAGGTTTTTGACTTTGGCATAAGTCATCCACGCGTTTCAGATTCACAAAGCATCGGTACGAATCTAGAATCTGGAAGAAAATCTAAAATACTTCACCAGCTAAAATGTTTACTACCTGTTAGTAACAGCATTTATTTATTATTATTATTATCTTTCATGATTACCATTTGCATAGTGTAGCAAATTTTTCGCTAGAATGTTTTAAATATTTTAGTATACATAGTATTTGTGACTAAACATACAAAATTCAAACTGAAGCCAGCAGATTCCAAGGCCTTTACATGTTAATATAGTCACTTCACATATTTATAAAGGAGAGACTTTGCTGAAGCTCCAATTAACCTAATATTGTTGACCTGTTTAGAGTGCTTGTATGTATGTAATCAATGTTATGTTTCTGGGAGAGAAATGCCTTTTGCACAGGCCCAAATCCCAAGAATGCATGATAAAAATGAGAGAAATTAGGGGGTTGAATTTGTTGTTTATGTCACAATCGTGTCTGCAGTAGCCAGTAATAAATGTGTCATTAGAAATAGACGCAGTTAGTTAGAAAAGGCCTTTAGTTAGACAGTCCTTCCAAACACATCACGCTACTCCATCGGAGAAGAGAAATTAATGCTGCACATGTATATGATTTTTCAAGGAATGGTTTTTAAAACACTATTAGTTTAATATATAGGCAGGCATTTACCATCATCTACCATTTGAAAATATAAAAAACGAATATCAACACAATTTATTTATTTAACTGTTTACAAAGACATAGCTACACAGTATGGTCTCCTATAAAGCATGATTTGAAAATACTAATTTACTCCAGAGCAATCGATATATTAGGAAACATTTACAGTATAGCGCTTTGTTTGTGTTTTTTTATGTGCAGTTTCATCTGCAAAAAAATACTCGAGGCTTGTATCACAAAGCAAGATTTGTTGGTTAGCTAGATAACTTGTCAGATTTAAGGTTTAAATGGACTTTATCTTCGTTCACTTTCACTTACATTTAGCCCAGACTACCTTAAATCCGACGTGTTATGTAGCTAACAAACAAATCTCGCTGCATGATACAGGCACCAAGTAAACGCAGAAAATGCCAACACCAGAAATGGCCAATTACTGCATCAGTTCACTGTGTGTCTTAAACTACAAGTGTTTGCTCTGCTGTTCATCCACATTTCATAACTTTAAACAGAAACAAAACCCAAAACACATCTAAGCATCCTGGTTCCAAGTAGCCGAGCAGTCAGTCAGTGGCAAGCTAATGTTATTGAGGAAAAGCTTGAAATGTTAAAGCGTTTTGAATGGAATGGGGGGACAAAACATTACAAAAGCAACAGGTATGAAGGAATCGACTTCAAGGTAAAGTGCCATATTTATTGTAGGATTTACCCATTTATTAGCTACTTAGTATTTATAAAACTGTGCTATTGTTATTTTCAGGTTTTTGAGTGTTTTGCAGGTGCGCCATGCTGGGCTGCTCCCTGCCTTGTACCTAAGGCCTCCGGTTTAGGCTCCGGACCCCCGGTGACCCTGAATTGAACAAGCGATTACAAAAGGTGAATGGATGGAGAGTTCTGCCCCAACCCCATGGTACCTGTGGATTCGATAGCATGAATTTGTTCATCACGAGGTTTCTCAGGAACATGTTACAGGAGAACATAGAGTGTGTATATATATACACACATACATACACACATGCGCTGCAACAATACAAATGAAAAATAGTGGCAGTGACTACAGATCCTATAAACCATTATATTCACATATAACTGCATAGCAGGAGCAAAGCACTTTTATTGAAGTTATATAATCTAAACTACTGCTGATAGTAGGTCTCTGTAATTTTGGACAACAGCCAAACAACATTTAAAAGGACCTAACAGTCTTCCTGATCTGGCAAAAAGTTGGTTTATTGGCTGTCATTGTGAACAGCAGTTTATATTATTTGATGCACACCTCATAGTACTTGTCTGTTTGTGCTTCCTTCCTATCTTCTTTTAAAGACATCTTCCATTCTGGAAAATCAGCCCATCATTTAACGGTCTAGTTGTACGGGTCAGAATCCATCACGAGGAACAGTTCACCAGCTGCTTTCCAAGATGTGCAGGACTTAGCATCTTCAACAATGGAATATAGCGATTGTTACTTCCAAAAGCTGATTAAACTGTAAAATGGCTCAGATTTAAAGTCATACTTTCCTCCATTTGGTTTTGGGATTTCTGAGCACATCTTGGAATGATCATTGAGCACACTGACAACAGGGACACCTTCAGATCCCTGCACAAGTGACCATGATTAATTAGTGCTCAGTCTCAACATTACTCCCTCTTCAGGGTTCTGCCTTCCATCTTTAGCCGAAAGTGCTTCCACTAGGGCTTAATCAATGAGGAAGGTGTGCAGATAAATCTGTCTCTCAATCCACTCCACAAAGTGGGTTACGTTACTGTAGACTCCAGGTCCCAGGACTTTTGAAAAGCAAACTGACCCCCAGGAAGTCAGGCCATAGAGACTCCAGCGACCGTCCACTTCCTGACAGACCAGAGGACCTCCGCTGTCTCCCTGGGGAACAACATACAGTTGGATAAATGCAATTTCACCATTATTCAGGTCAGTTTAGGTAATATTACCAGCACAGTTACAGCAGTCCCTGGTTTACAAACCAGAGGTGGACATTTAAGCTCCAGACTAAGATTTTGTTTCAACCAAGCAGTTGAGTATAGGGAGTCACAGAGCGCTGTACTGGTTAGTTGAAACAAAATCTTGGTCTGCATTTGGTCTGTGGACCTGAAATGTCCATCTCTGTTGCAAACCCAGTCCATTGGTTACAAAGAGTCAATTTTTTTTTTATCCGTTTTGACATGAGACAAGTACAGTGTTGAATGACAGCAGAGGACCTCACCATGCAAGAGTCGACAGTTCCTGACTCATACCCGGCACACAGCATGCGGGACGTGATGGTCTTCATGTCAAAGTAAGACTGGCACTGGTTTAGGGAGATGATCCGCACCTCGCCTTCCTGCAGCTTGAAAGGCACTAGCCAAAGGATGATAAGATAGGACCTGTTAGCGGCAGGTGCATGTGGAGCGAAAAACCCTTTTGCTGCTGGTGCGTGTGGCCTGAGGACCCACTAGAGGCAGGTATGTGTGGAGCAAGGAACCGTTTAGCAGTAGGTGTGTATGGAGCGAGGAACCCGTTAGTGGCAGGTGCGTGTGGACTGAGGAACCCATTAGAGGCAGGTATGTGTGGAGCAAGGAACCGTTTAGCAGTAGGTGTGTAT